TAAGGCCTTGCACAAAGAGTCTTCTCGTGTCCACGGGAAGTTTCCGTGCGGGTTGTTTGAGAGTAATCAAGAGATTCACTCCATCGTAAACAAGACTTCCTTTATTGATGACTCCACGAGCACCTTCAGGTAAGATCAAACGATTTTCGTCAAACAGGCAAACACACAAACAAATGAAACAAGGCAAAAAACTTGTGCAACAGTATTGGATAATAACTACATATCATACATTTACGGAAATAATTACCACCAGTTCAATTTCTGTTTGTCAGTTTTCGATCCTAACTTGGACAAGCCGTCAGCCCGTTCGGTTTGATTGGGCGCGAAAAAGAAAAACGGAGACGGCTAGTTCAATTGAAATCCTTTAAAATCACTGTAAAATGGTGCTATTTCTCGTGGTCCTTTGCTATGGAAGTTAAGAGAGGATCCCCTCTTGATGTAGGTATAATGAAGTGAAGCCACGCATGACTGGTACACGGCATTAAGGTAACAGACAGGTGTATGACATTTACTGCAGACTTACTTTCGGCTTTGGTAAAGGTAATGACAGCCGTTGCTTGGTCTGAATTAAAATCTACGCTCTCTATCTCTCCTCCCCCGGAACGCCGTTTGTTTTCGAAAAAATTCGAAATAGCGTCTTTGGTTGTTGTCGCAGCAAGTCCAGTCACCTCAATGGTACGTGACTCTTGTGCTTCTTTCTCGTTGCATGGTTCCACGGCTGTGCTACGAGGTGTGACAGTCAGTGTGGCTCCATCAAGAGTATGCTCACTGTGTCCCAAGACACTTTTTACAGCTTGGAAAGTACCAAAAGTTTATCATTATAAAACAGAAATTTTCGATATGTTAAGTTCAAACACTTAAATTTGCTCGTACTCACTTTCGGCCGCAGCGAAGGTGATAAAAGCAACCCCTCGGTCTGGAATAAAATTGACGCGTTCTATCTCTCCTCCCCCAGTGCGCCGTTTGTTTTCGAAAAAGTTCAAAATTGCATCTTCAGTTGTTTTCGGAGCAAGTCCAGTAACTTCTATTGTTCGTGATTCTTGTATTCTTACTTTGTCAAGCGAGTCAGTTGCTGTGTTGCTGGGCATGAGACTCAGTGTGGCTCCATCGAGAATGTGCTGACCATGTTGTAACACACTTTTTACAGCTTGAAATGCAACAAATGATTATCATTGTGGGAGAAACAAAAAATGAAGAATCCTTTTACTGTTAATGATCCACTCTTTGGAATACAAAATGATGAAGAAAAAAAAAAAACTTAACTTAAAGAGGCTCAGCAGGTTCTCTGACCCTTTCATTCACAAGATCTTATTAGTAATTCTCCTTACTGTCTGCCATACAATTGTTACGATGTTATCTCTGGGAATTCGGCATTGGATCAACTAATAAATAAATATCCCCTCATTGATGATTTTCTTTATTCTTAGTATTGTATTGATATTGTAAGGAGAAATTCTGTCTCGGTCACTTACTCATGGGAATTAAATAGTTAAAAATGTAATGTTACCGAGAAATAATTTTTCTCAATATCCGACATATTTCTGCAGGATGGTTTCTTTTCTTGACATTAGGAGCCCTTATAAGAATTCAAAATGAAAATCACCCTAAACCAAATTATTTACCATCAACATCTTTGAATGTCACGAAAGCTACATTTTCTTCAGGTCGGAGATCCACAGCCTCTACCTCTCCACCCCCAGAACGCCTCTCGTTTTCAAAGTAGTTGGAAATTGAATCTTCTGTGGTCTTTGCAGCGACGCCAGTTATCTTGATAGTTTTTCTTGTACTTTCCGCATCATCAAGTAATTCTAGACTGACATCAAGAGTAGCACCATTCAGGATATGCTGCTTGTCATGCTTGACAACATGTTGTGCCACTAAAGAGGATACGAAATGAATTAAGTGTAGAGAAAATCGAAGAATACAGATCTTGATCCAACAGCGACAACAACAATTGCTCTTTGTTTTCAAAAGAAAACCTCAGACAGAGTCAAAGAAAACAAATCTCAGAGAGAGCAAAGCATACATTCTATAACTTAGCGTAAAACATTTCCTCTAGTCATCTAATCATGGTCGTATGAGTCTATCATGAGTAAAAGGGGGACGAAACGTCACCCAAAAATCTCACCGTATCATTTTTTCCAGCACTTAAACCTTACTGCATGATACACAAGTTACGAAGTGATCCTCGAAAATAATCAAATAGCAGAAAAAACAAGCTTTCAAGAAGGCAGTCTTCTAACTGATCCAGAAAGACATATGTTTAAAGTAAGGCAAATTTTAGTCGGCTCTTTGTTACGAAATTACACAATTGATCTCTTGAGATGAGTTCATCGCCTGACTTTATGATGGTGAACATTATAACTAAGTTACCCTCAGATGACTCAAACTTCACTCGTGCTACACTGCCTTCGATTTTCACTTCCTCTACGGCGCCACCTCCCGAACGCCTTGTGTTCTCAAAGTAATTCAAAACAGTATCCTCGGTTGTACTTTGAGGAAGTCCTCGAACGATAATAACACAGGTCTGCAAGAGCACGAGAGATAAGTGTGACCAAAGAAAAATTGCTTGCGAAAATCAAATGAATGGGGGGAGGAGAGGGGGGGAGTGGGGGCGAATAGCGAAACCAGATATCAAACAGATGGAGGTAAGAGGTACCATAGGCAGAGTTCATGGTCTTCATAGTGTTCAGAGGTTTTAGTTTACCAGCTTTAATTAAACCACCAAAACACTATGGACACTGTATGATGTTTAATTTACAAGGGAAAATCTATTGGAAACATTAAATATGATTCAAGAAATCGAAGCATCGTCATATACAAGTGAATCAAGGACTCATCGACTCAGCGATGCTTTTTCCCAAGATTAAAATCAGTGAACTCCTGAAAGGTTCACCCGAGGGTCTGACCTGATGAACTGATGTGTCCTTTGCATGGAACTCTTCATCAAATGCATGATATGAAACTTCCACTTTAGTTCCATTTAAGGTATGTGGCGCTCTTCTTACGACACTCTTTGCAACTGCAAAACAAATAAGAAAAAATAAAGAGGCAATAAATACCTTAACACAGTGAACAAAGAATACATCAAGCAAAAATCAGACTATTTTTATTTGTGTTAAACTTTCATGCCGAAATTGAATATGGTTTATGAAAGAGATGAACGGATCATTGAATGTTTTTATGGAAATGAACGGCCAGTGGTTAGAACAAGGATGAGTATGCGTGGAATAAATGGATGAAAGAATTAGGAAGAACCGGGGAAGTGATTGTATACGTGTCCATGAAAGAGAGAGTCACAAAAAGAGCTTAGTGGGAAAATCAGTTTGAAATAAATTGGATTTTTAACACTAGAATATTCCCTTTGCAATATTCATGGATGATTCTTGCAAAACTTTCATTATAATCATTAATATTTCATGTAAAGTTAAAACACACATGGCCGACATCTCAATAATAATTAAAGAAGAGCGCAAGTGTTTGGAAATGAATGAGCCAGTCACGCATGACCCTTTGTCAGGATATACTCTTAGGCTTTGGTAATCATTATAATCATTATAATCAATCATCATTTGATAATCATTATAATCATGAATGTTACGTTTTCCTTGCCCTCCCCTAAAGTTGTTTTTATGATGCATGTTTGAGCCGCTGTTTTAAAGATCTGAATTCGGCGAAATCTGGAAACATTTGAAGGGAAGAGCGGAAGTTTCGCACTCGAAAGAACAGGCATGAAATCATGAAATTCGAGTGACCTACATTTAATCTGCACTTCTTTAAACAGAATACTAATGACTAATTACAGTTGTGGTTGAATTCATAGGCTGAGAGAATGAAACAAAGGGAAATTCCAACTCACCATCGCTTTCTTCAAATGTTATGACCGCATCGCCTTCCCTCAAGTCCACCGAGCTGATATCTCCACCTCCGGATTGTTTACGTGATTGGAAATATATCATTAATTCTTGCTTGGATATCTTTCTACCGATAGCTCGAACGTGTAAAATCCGACCTTCGTCCATGTTAAGATGATGTGCGTATCTAAACTTCGAAAGGTAAATGTGAGATAGATTTCTCCCGCATCGTGCGTAACCGAAACTTCTCGCAGGCGCGGATTCCGAGAATCTGGAAGGATGTCAATTTCCGACGTATCGATTATGTCATCGTCTGTCACGCAAGTAACCTGTTCAGTGGCCTACTGGGGTTAAAACAAACTGCATTTGTCTCTTAAATTAAGCTATTCGAACAAATAGATAACTGTGATTTCTCTACTACTTAAATATGGTATAACACAAATTGGTTAAAAATTTATGTGGTTCCCCTCTAAGATTCTTGCAGAGAATTGGTTAAAGGGATTCCCCGCTCGATACGGGAATACGTGGATCACTGTAATACTGCCTTGCCTTCTTTTTAATCGTCGGTGCTGATATCTCAACCTCGAGATTGTTTGGGAGATTGGAAATATTTCGCTCATTCGTACTTTAATATTTCTCCCACCCACTAATACCACGGACATGCAAAATCCGGTCTTCTTCATGTTTACAAAGGTATAACTTAATCTTTCTACAATTTAAAAACTGAAAATAAGCTTAAAAAAAAACGAGTTCCGCTTCAGGCGAAACCGAAATTTCTCGTCAGTGCCGATTCTCAGAAATCGTCGGGAAAAACCCCTACATGATATTTCGATGACGTCACTGCCTGTCACGCATGTTTCTTTCAAGGGACTAGGGGTAAGATAAGATATTTTAGCTTTATAAAAATACGAGCTAGACGTTTGAATGACGGTAATTTCCTTCATAAATAAACTGAATATCAACTAAACTAGATAGAGCAATTCTCATTACATTTAAAACTTAAAGGAAATGTAAACTAAATGAGAACCAAAACAAACATTCTTCCCTCACCCCGTCAAGGTCTTACCCAGTCCCTAGACGATTTGTTGCTACGGAAGTTGTAGGGAATTCTTGGAAAGCATGTCAGAAACACACAGTGAAGCAATCGTGACTTCAAGACAGATCGTCAGACATCAATCTGTGGCGACGCTATCATGGCAGCGAAGCCAATTTTCGTCGATGAGCCATGGAATCCACAGCCTAGAAATACAAGTGTCGCCAACAAAAGTGTCGTTGTTAAAAACCTATCACCCTCGACAAGCAAGGAGGCGATAATCATCTACTTTCAGAGGCGAAGAAATGGTGGAGGTGAAGTAGACGGTGTTTGCTTACGAAGCGAAGGTGTAGCAGTTGTTACATTTGAAAAAGAAGAAGGTTGGTTAGATCCATTGATTTTGAAAATCATTTCGATCGCCTTCAAACTGCAGTCAGCTTTAGTTTAAACACCGATAACTGCGATACTTTCACGGAGATTAACTGTCGATCCATGACGAAATGGCTCGATTAGCTATCAAAATATCGAAGTCACTTGCTTTGTTCCTTTATTCAGAGTTGGTTTGATACGAGGTGTTTGAATGTTCCCATCACTTTCAGCGGCGATAAACGCCATAGAAGACGGAAGTTAGTTGAAAACGAAACTTTCGAGACAAGCGCTACAAATTTCCCTCGGGAAAGCCCCTGCACCTTCAATGTTTAGCAGGTCTTGGAAGTCGAATATATAATCATCGTATACTGTAGCAATAAGTTATATCTTTTGGCCTCTTGGAAGTACTTTTAATAAAGAAGAATTTGCATAAATAAAGGAAAGAGGCGGAAGTCCAACTAAAAATAAGAACTGCAGGCCCCCCTTCCCCCCCGGGCTTTATCGGATTCCTTTATGAAGTGTTGTGGCGTGTAATTTAAAGAAAGGAATGATCAGTGTTCGTCTGGCTTAGAACCAACTGGTGAAATATTCATGTTCACTACAAACAGCTTGCATGAGAGAATTTGCATACACAAGAAACAATTGGAAATATCACCACAAAAGATGTCACGCAGTCACGAAACATTAATTTACATTTCACGCATTTCACGCAAGTCACGATCCTTAAAGAAAAAGATAATAGATTATCGAAGGTAGAACTTATGAACAGAACAGATTTACCTAGAAACGCGTTTGCTACAATCAACACTCTCTCCTGGAAATTTAACATATTCTACCAATCAAGCAAATGTCGAAATTAAAGAGAATTTTAGTAGTATTCGTGTTTGGACAACCACAATACTAACTGTTTCACTGTTATTGCTCAAACGTTTTAAGTAGTAAGATTAGGACAAGGACAGAGAAGGGAAGGGGGGGGGGGGGTTGATCGCTGGTAGGGTTGGAGAGAAACTATGAGCATTTTGTTTGGTAGCGTTAGATGTCTATACAACGAACTGTAAATATTTAAGCTAAATTGTAATCTGTCATTTTATGTCCTGATCAACAAAGCCTAAGGCTCTCTACGATTTTTGAGCAGGATCAGTTGCAGGCTGATCCCAAATAATTGATATGTGCAGTGTACAGTGTAAAGAGTTTAAAGGCTGACGTTTCGGGCGTTAACCCAGACGAAGGGCGAACGCTTGAAACGTCAGCTTTTAAACTCTACGGTGGCCAATTTGCGTTTTCAACTCAGTTGATAACAGTAAATTACCCTGTTATACTCTCCCACCGACGCAGCACCACAGTTTCTTTAGAAACTTACCCCCTTTGCTCGTTTGCTAAAAGAGATAACTGCTTTCATTTAACAAAGCATTGTTTTGCGTTGGCTCCGTGCAACATCTCAACATCTCGAATCATGTAACATAATCAGTATAGTTTGTGGTTTCAGTTTAGTTTTATTAACGAGTTGATGATGTAAGTCAGCCATGGTAAAGAGTTTTGAGCGTTAAACCCTTACAATTGGCTCTGGCGACGGGCTGATGCTCGAAACGTGAGCTTTAGAAATTCTTTACGGTGGCTTATATACGTTACCAACTCAGTTGATGAAACCAAATGATCTTGCAATGTCCTCTCGACGCAGCACCAGGTTTATTAAGAAACTTACCCCCTCTAATCCCTTTCAGTGGCAGAGTCTGTTTTGACAAGGGCACACAACATAGATGGCGTTCAGGTCAAAGTGGAACGAATTATTCAAACGTCAAACCAGGTATTTTACGCATATTAGATCTAAAATGATATGCATACCGTAACAGACGGATTGGAGCACACAATGGATGAGGCGGGTAACTCGGCCGGAAGTCCATTCCAATAATAGGGATGGTCACATTCCCTCATAATATTTATAGGTTTGCTTCCTGAATTTGTTTCCTACCAAAGGAAACTGTTGAAGCTCTACCTTGTGAACTTTCATTCTGGCGGGAGGAGAAAAATTCTAGTCTGTTATCACGGATAAACCGGGGACAAAATTTTGATTACACAATTAATTATGTATTGCACAGCTCAGAAATATGTCAATATAAAAATAATTTTTGACTTATTACCTGTATTAAAACGCTTTCAAGGTGTTTGGCAAAGTGGCCGCCCGTCTCGATCCAGAATCATTAGGTTTAAGCTTCTCCAGTTTGGAAGAAATTCTACAGTCAATCAAAGACAAAACAGTAGAGTGGAGAAGGATTTTCGACGGCTTTGTGGTGTCCGGAACATTTGAACAAATAGAAGAAGTTCACAACTCGTTACAGAAAATTAAATCAATCAGAAGTTATCAGGGAAAGAGAGAGACTGCGCAGACAGATTGCAAAAGGTCAGCGTATCCGATGGCTTTTGGACAGTCTCCCCGAACTGGTAAACTTTTTACTGAACCAGCCATTGGTCGAAAACATTCCAACATTGACAGAAACTCGACAGGGAGGGCAAACTTGAGAGACTCTCAAGGGCGAGGATCGAATCACCGGATGAACATATTAAACAGCAAGATGAAAAACAAGGGAGAGGACAAATTAGTACAGCTGCAGGCATTTACTCATGGTTCTGTCGTTCCTTCATTCGAATTCCCTGGTGCTGAGAGTACTCCTAGCATTGAACAGAAACGCGAGTCAGAGAAAAACAGTAGTGGTAGAGATCAGTGCCAAGCAAAAGGACTAAAGACAGAACATTTAATGGCGACTGCGGATAGGAAAATGAAAACAGATGAAGCTAGGAAACTTGAAGATGAATTTAAAAAATCTCAAATTTTAGGTGTTGGTGAACGAAGACTAAACAGGGAAGAAGCAAGAAAGTTCAGTGACCATGGAAGTCCCCAAATTATGCCCCAGAATTACAAAGGTCCAACGGAATTAAGTGCTTCTAGAAAACACAAAGTGGAGAATACATCTCTTGATGGAAAAACCATCGTTACCCGAAGTGAAACTCCCATCCATAAAGTAACAAATAAAGAAATTTGTGGGACGGGTCAAGGAACGACCACTGAATCATGTGCAATAAAGAAAAGTTGCGTCGAGGACGACCCAAATGAGAGAACAGAAGATACTGAGCCGGTTACGGATAGGGCTTCCAACGATGTTTCGAGGACAACCTCAGAGCCAGCACCATACACTAATGGCGCTGAGACTCGGGGCAATCATCAAAATCAAGACGAAACAGAGCCATTTGAGACTCTGTCGAGAAAACAACAGGGTGGTTATAACAATGGGCTATGGGATGTCAGAGAAAAGGGAAACTCCCTCTTAGGAAATGAAGGAGAAGCCGTGATAAGTGACCACATCGAGGAAAATGATATCATTGAAACGCCACAACGGAATGAAATCTGTGAAAAACAAGTCCATCCGCAATCAAAAGGCCCACACAGTCCTAGTGAGAGCATAAAAGAACCGGAGTCCACAATCGCCACGAGGGAGAGCAACCATATTAAGTTCTTAACGGAAACTGGTATCACCGTCTTGTTACTTAAAGGAGACATTACGAACCATCATGTAGACCTTCTTATACGTCCCGCCAATCCATCGCTCTGTTACAAAGAGGGACCGTCAAATCAGATTCAAGAAATAGAGGATACATTGGTGAAAGATGAATGCCAAAGGATCACTCAGGGCCAAGAAACGCCGAAATATGGCGAAGCATTCTTTACTGATGGTGGTAATTTACCTTGCAAAGCAGTCCTTCATGTTATTCTGCCCCTCTGGATCGAGGAAAAGAAGGATACGAAGGAGCTTAAGCACTTAATCCACATGTGTTTAAAGGAAGGATTGATTTTGGCATCAGAGCATGGACACAAATCGGTTGCGTTACCGCCACTAGGACAAGGGGGGAATCCCATTCCAGTTCGTTTCTCGGCAGAGGTGACCACTCGTATCATCGCTACGTTTAGCAGAAGCGTTAGTCCATTGCACAATGGAGTTACTGATTTCCACATTGTGTGTAAAGATGACGCCACTTTCAGTATATTTGCCAAAAAATTGAGAGAATTTTCATTTCGAGAGAAACAACAACCATATTTCGCACAGGCTGAGGACAAAGCAGTCCCATATGAAAGCATTAGTAGATGTGGTACTGGGCTAAAAAAAGACGAACTCTCTTCGCTGAAAGGGACACCTTGCCAGGAAAATCAACATGTTACCATGTTACCTGTCTCTAAATCGGATTTAACATCACAGCCAGCCTCCTTTTTTCATGGCACAGAGAGCAGGAAAAACCGTCTAACTCAAAACGAAGCAAAACCCTGTGAAGCTCTCCCAAAAAGTCGACAAGATAATGCTAACAATAGGCTTAAGAATGTCAAGGAGAAAGAAAACGATTTTCTCGAGAATGGAGGAGAAGCTGTAACAAATCACCCCAAGGGCGAAAAAAGCTTGATTGAAGCGCCAAAACAAAGTGAAATATGTGGAGAAGGAACCTACCAACATTCAAAGAGCCCCAATTCAGAGGAAAGCATTGAAGATGCGGAGTCCTCAACAACTGTGATGAGAAACAACCATATGAAGTTCTCCACAGAAACTGGTATCACCGTCATGTTATTTAAAGGAAATGTAACAAGCCACAATGCAGACGTTCTTATAAGTCCTGCTAATCCATCGCTTTGTTACAAAGTAGGACTATCAAAGCAGATTCCAGAGGCAGGGGGCAGTTATGCAAAAGATAAATGCCTTGTGCTCACCCAAGGACAAAAAATGTTAAAATATGGTGAGGTGCTTGTTACTGGTAGTGGTAATTTACCTTGCAAAGCTGTCTTCCATGCTATTCTGCCCCCATGGACCGACTGTGAAGAGGATAAGAAAAAGCTTAAGCGCCAAATCCACAACTGTCTTAAAGATGGGCTCATGTTGGCATCAGGACACAGACACAGATCGGTTGCTTTCCGCCTATTAGGACAAGAGTGGAACCCCATTCCAGTTCATGTGTCGGCAGAGGTGATCACTCGTGTCATCGCTGATTATAGCAAAGACGTTGGTCCATTGCACAGTGGAGTTACTAATGCCCATGTAGTTTGTGAGGATGAAGCGAGTTTTGAACTGTTTGCCAAAGAATTGGAAGAATTTTCATTCCCACATAAACAACAAAAACATTTTAAGACAAGAAACAAGCTTTACGAAGATTACAAAGCAGTAGCAAATGAAAGCACCAGAATAAGTGGATGCATAAAAGACAAATCTTCTGCGCCGGAAGAGAAATCTCGTCAAAGTGCTGCTTTATCGATTAGTTTTAAAACAGATCCAGTGCCGGAGGAGGAGAATGGAACGACCCAAATGGTCTCACCCCGAGAAGAAATTGTCACATCCTCAATTGAAATTAAATCAAGTGAAGAGCTATCCGCCGTGGGCGAGAAAATGACTATGATTGAAGTAGAGGATTTGTTGCAGCCTGAGGAAGCTCGAGCGTTCGAAATATTGGAAGCAACGTCTGGAAGACACTTACTTAAAAGTGTTGGAGAAGTATCAAAAAGTGTGCCTGAGGGGGAGAGTTTAAACAGGGAAATAGCAGAGGAGTTCAAAAGAGATGAATTTGAAGAACAGGTCACTGTAAACCGTGATTTTGAAAATAAATCTTCAGTGCAACTCCAACAGTGTACGGCTGTCGACCCGTTTTCTACACAAGAAGCGATGGAGCAACACCACGCTCAGCGCAGCATAAGACACATCACAAATCTTCCTCCGTTATCAATGGGCATGGACAAAATAATTCGAAGGAGTTCAAATTCGTCCTCTCTTCATGATGGTGGAAGACTGTTAGAAGGTTTCATGTCGCCCACTATTGAGTCCCTCATTAATGCCGATCTTCACCTCGGTGCTCAAGGATTAAAACTTTTACATGACGATGATGACGATGTAAAGAAAAAAGAAGACCTGGAGGAAAGCTCTTCGCTTAATTCACATGAAAAAAATTCTTCAACTGCCTCAAGTGTTCCGCACTTAATTTGCCTTCAGAGCAATGAAAATATGCCACACAATTCTAGAAGGAAAGTTGAAAAAATCCTTGATTCCAACATGGAACTTGAAACTCCTGATATTTTGGAAACAACGATTCAAAACAGTCCTTCATTGAGGACGATAGACGACGAAAACGGATTGCAGACGCTTCCTGAGAAAAATGGTAGGTGATGACGTATTGAGTTTTCCTGGAGTTTAACTTAACCTTGACCCATCTAGTTGGTCTTAGGAAATAAAATAAAAACTGAAAAAATATCTGTGCAAAGTCATATTATACTAAGTTGCATAGTTAGGAAAAATGTTCTGGTTTTGTGTCGTTCCTGGATAATGTTTTCTTTTCAGGAAAAAAAGAGCAAATCGGGTCTGATGGATATGGGTTTTTATCAAATATATTTGAACATAAGCGTTCTTGATAGAAATATTGGTGATTCAAGTGGCTCAAAATGGTTTACCTATTTCCAAAAATTTTGAAGGAAACAGGAAAAAATGTGGTAATATTAGCCATCAAGGAATTGGTGTGATAAAAAACTAAAACCATCTTGAGTTGTCTTAAGTGGAAAAATTTTGACTCAATTATATAGACTTTAAACTAACTACACATTTATCTATTTCTTAGTTTCAGCAGAAACTGCACAGCCGCGGAATGCCCGCACCCTCTGCGCTCTCTGCCAAGAAGCGGTGGATCACTTGGCCATTGAAAATTCAAACACCTGTGAAAAGCACAAGTTCTGTGACGACTGTACACAGAAAGCTTTCTCATTTAGTGATGACTGTCCCGCTTGCGCCGATGCATATGGCTTGATAAATCCCAAAAGAGTTGACATTGTTACGCTCAAACGTAGATCTAACCTTGATACCAAAGGTACGTAAGAGACCTAAATTAAGATGCATTGTTTAATTATCAGAATATTGAGATGGATCGAACAGATAAGATAAAACTAACTAGCCTCAGACAAGGCCGCTGTCATTCATTTTTCGTACGCTTATTATTTACAGGTTTTGAAATTTTCTTCGAGACAGTTTCCTATTGATTTTTATGAATATGCCCGGCCCTATGTCTATTTCTTCGTTTTTATCTCCGTATTTGTTAATTTTCCCTTTCAATCTATTCATTGACTTTTTCTTTTCACATAGACACTCATCCTTCCACATCCGACTCAATCTCACCCGTGGAACGCCCCAGCATTGCCCACAGATCAGTCGGTCCCCAAGGCAACCAGCCTCCTGGAGAAATGATGTGGAAAAAGTATTCGGAAGATCTTACTGGTTTTGAAGGTTATGGCACAATTGTTACAACTTTCACTTTCTATGATGGAGTCCAAAGCCCTGAACATCCAACCCCAGGCAAATCATACAAAGGCATATCGTGCATGGCCTACTTTCCTAACTCGCAAGAAGGAAAAGGGGTTCTGAAATTACTTCGAAAAGCTTTTGACGCCCGCCTGGTGTTTACTATTTCACAAACTGCTGCCGAAGAGTCTGGTCAGGTGGTGTTGGATGGATTAGAACTGAAGACCACAGCTGAAAGTTATTTGAGGTAAGGGGCTCAGTTAATCCGCTTAGGTCTTCACATCTGGGGGCATTCGTTGATCTAGTTTGAATCAGGATAGTTAACTATTATCAACTGTGTTGATAACGCAAATTGGCCACCGTAAAGAGTTTCAAAGCTGACGTTTCGAGCGTTAGCCCTTCGTCATAGCGAATCAGTCTCGTTCGTTTAGGAAAAGGTGAGGTATTTTCGGTAAAAAAAAACTCAGAAGCAATTTCAAAAGAGTAAAACAATAGCGTAATTCAGCGACCTGGAGTTGCAGGGTTTACAAATGTTTCCTTTTGTTCTCGTTTTATAAGTGAATTTCAAGGAATGACTATGAACATTTTCCACTTTATTCGACGAGATTTTTCGCTACGTGTTGGTAAATATGATTGCAGGTTATATTTTGCTTTTCTTTGGAATTTTAGGCCATGTCAAATCTTGAAATATTTTCTCTTCTTAATTGTAATCCAGTTTTACCTCTATAAATCTTCAGGAATGGTCAGCCAGACGTCGACTATTTTTCAAGACTAAAAGGACAGTTGGCAGCTAAAGGAATTTGCTGAACAAAAAAACTTCTGTTCTGCGGAACAGTGACTGAACTGATTTTAAATGCGTTATATGGTGTTCCTCTTTATACGTTTTTGAGGATTATTTTTAAGCTTTTTCCTTTGATTTCGCGGCCTCGTGCAGATGCATATCTCAGATTTTCTTTTTCCTTTTTATTTTGAGCTAGAACGAAAAAATCTAAGGCCATACAAAAATTGAAGTACCAAAATTAGAAAGAAAAATCCACGGACTAAAAATCTCTAAATTAGATATTTTATTCACCGATCATATCTTAAAAGACAATGCATGATCAACTAGAACGACATTTTTTTGGCTTTTCTGCATTGATTCGTTCACATGTCATCCTCATCTCACTTGTCCTTTTGCGCATTCTAAGAATAAGTAACGTAATTCGTAAAAATAATAAGTAATTATTACCCTGTATACCATAGCGAGTTAATTGTACGGGAAAAAAAATCACATTGGAGGAACTTTTTTATGTAGTTTGTTTCGTTTTTGGATCTAACGTCAGGGTGGTTTAGGCGTCTCTACACAAAGCAACATAACTTTAAAAGACCAAATCCGACAAAAAGGGAATAGCGATGGGTTTTTTCGCATCATAGAGTTAATTTCAACGCTGAAAAGGCATAACTTTTATACAATTTACCAAGTGCATCATTGTCGAATTTTAATAAACTCAAATTAAACTTGGAAGCTCTGCAAATTTCCTAGAGGTAATAACACTGAAGTGCGTGACACCTTATAATAACACCTGTGTAACTGTAACGCACGACAATTCTACTAAAATAAACTCGTCGTAGAAACTGGAAGGCCCTGGCATTACAAGCATACACGTCAAGACCCCGCTGAACGTAATCAATCAGTCACTGAGTAGATTAGCTCAAATATTTTAAAAAAGAGGAAGGAAAAAGAAACAACGAATTCACGAATTCATTTGATTTCATATACCTCTGGCTCATTTGCTATAGTGAAAGAGGTGAACTTGTGAATGGGCCTGCCTGTCCTATTTGCTCATGGAAACCTTTTAAAAGTTAAAAGGAAAACAAAAGTGAATCATTCAACGATGTTGTGCACCGAAATTGAGGCTAATAGCAGTGAGTGAATCAAACATTTACAAGAACACAAATTTAGAAAACTAAAGGCAGCCAGTTACACGAATGCTTCTAGAAGTCTTCAGTAGTTAAGATCGCTCGGTGCTAGCGACCATTGCACGACGAGTTTGACACGTTAACCCCACACCGTTAGGCGGAAAAAGTAAATACAAGTAACGGTCTGTTAATAATTCAACTTTTGTGACAAGGACAACATAAACGTTTTCTTTTGTATGCTGTAAAAATTAAAGAAAAAGAAAGGGTTTACCGCAAAAATTCTGCAATTTCCTATAGCAAGAACAAAAGAAGAGTGTTTTCAGCAAGTAATATAGTGTCAACAACTGAGTTGAAAACGTAAATTGGCCACCGTAAAGAGTTTAAAGGCTGACGTTTTGAGCGTTAGCCCTTCTTCAACTCAGTTGTTAACACTAAATTACCTGCTATAATCTCCCACGGATGCAGTACCACAGTTTTTTTTAAGAAAATTACACCATTTATTTATTTCTTTTTTCAGCAAGAATTGCTGAAGGTTAAACTTGTAATTTTGGTTTCTATGTAGACATATTTTCCATGACCTTTCGTTTCTCAATTTTTAATAAGGTTTTTTTGCCCCTCTTCTGAGCCTTACAAAATTGTTGACGAACACGTTTTTCAACTAGCTTATACATCCAATTTAACCGTTTTCCTCTCTATTTTTACATTGGAATCTATGTTATTGCTTGTCAAATATTTGGTCATTTCAGGTGTCTTTTCGAGTGTTTTTTAAATTTCATTGCGCGCACGCTTTCTTTCCATTAACAATTTTTCAACGTTCCGAGTTCTATTCTTTTAGAATAATTGAGGATGTATTGAACAGGATATGGTTTCACAACTAATTGAAATACTTGGTAGCTGTTTAAACATCCGCTCAAAAAATCATCAAACTTGTTTTCACCGCAAATGAAATATCATAGCGAATGTTTTATCTAATATTATCGCATTTAATACGGTCTTTCTGACAATTAAACCATATCATTTCGATCCCTCTAAAACGCGCTTCTCGTCAAAACTAAGGTTTGAACAGTTGCAAAGGTGTTTCAAGAAAACTGAAAACCTATAAACGTATATAAGACTGTTACTATCTCTCTCTGAAAGAAACTCATCTTAAACGACAAGAAGTTCAAAATGAAAGGACTGATAGTGTTTTGTGGCCTGTTTGTGGGCGTCTTTGCCCAAAATCCAGATGGCAAGTATTTTTTTTTTTTCTAACTGAAGAAATATTTACGTTAACTCTTATAAGCACATTTCTTGTAAGCAGCGGCTGAAATAGTAACGTTTTTTCTACCATCGGTACTCATTTACGTCTTTCGACAACGGTTCTACAAAGCTTTTTCTTTTCATAATTTATGTTTTTTTACTCTTAAACTCATGAGAACAAAAGTCAGGAAGGGGTGGATGTCAGTAGTTTCTTTATCAAAGTCTCTTTACTGTTCGTAGTTTTATCGCACCATATACAGTTTCAGCCCCAGATTACTAAAACGCATTGATAAAACCCGAAATAAAAATCACATGTGGAGCTGCAAAATACCCGTACCAACCATACTTCAAACGAAAAACAATAATAGTTATTAAACTCTGAACTGTGTAGTGGTAGGGGCGGCGCGCTTTACATTGTAAATGTTCACTTACTTACAATGGCAGTTACAATTGCTATCACATTGGGTTTTTATTTTAGAGCCTAAAATTTGTTTACTCCGTGATCGAAGTTAATAATACCTTACTTTTAAAAACCTTCCAATGTAACCTGGCAATCGATAGGATATTTCATTGATTACTTAATAAAGAACTTTTGGATGATTGTGTGTCTGCTCGTTTCCTTTTTGCAGAAAATATCGAGCTCCATGGACGAGATGCTGGTCTGTATGAAGGAGACATGAGACTAACGATTGATCAAGCACTAATGATCGAGAGTGGCGAGGTCAGAGGATCAATTAAAACTGGAAAATGGCCTGAAGCTGAGCTGGCATACGAAATTGATCCTTCTCTGAGTAAGCCATTTTTGACTGGAGAAATAGATAACATTACAAAGAAAATCTATACGCATTTCAATATAAAAAGTCAAAATTTACTTTCAGAGGGTTTATTTGTTTTCGACTTCTAAGGTTCGCAGTCGAGGGCGATGGCCGTTATCCAGAGTGCAATGCGCGAGTGGGAGCAGAAAACTTACGTACGCTTTAAGAAAAGAACCACAGAGACCGCTTACGTCTCATTCTTTAAAGGTTCCGGGTAAGAATATAAGATGATGAAACATTTTCTGTTTGGTTTCTATCTTCGTCCTCTTTTCGAACTTTCTTCTAAGATGCATTAATTATTTTCTAAAAGAAAGGAAAAAATAATTTATGACCGGTCATTACTTGTTGTCTGGGGATGGGGGAGGGGAATGGGCAGGGGGGAGGTTTACATGAGTTTGGCTGTCTCACAAAAAATTTTACTTAGTCCCCCCTCCCTGAGGTCCTCTATCCCTCTTCATTGCAAGTTAATTGGCAGTCTGTCTTCTATAATCCACCTTTGTATTATGTTGGCGACAGCTAAAAGTTCCTCCCCCCTCTGTTCCCCCTAAAAACTATGTGATTGCCCCCAAATCTTCCACCCCACCCACCCCTCAGGCAAAAAAATTGCGACCGATCCTTTCATGGTCAATCTAAAGGCCATTAGAATCTTTTTGACAAATTTATACAATCATCTGCTCAAATGTAGCTTATTAGAATTGTTAGTTATCATTTTATTTTTTTCTCCTGAATGCTAAATAATACGAACTTGCAATTATTAGGTGTTGGTCCTATGTTGGAAGAACCGGCAGGAAGCAACAATTGTCATTGGCCAGTGGATGTTGGTATCACGGCATTGTGATCCATGAAATAGGTGCAACTCAAATTAACACGTTGGCAAGGAAAAAAATCACTTATTTGACGTAAAAGATGAATAGTGATTGATGTGATGCTCCAGTGTCATTCTACCTTTCTCTTCCTCCTCTTGAATCGACTGTTTTCCTGTTTTCCTATATATTTTCGACCTATCATACATAAAAACGGCATTACGACAGTGAGGTGATGAGGAGAGACTGTTTCCCATTTTCGGGGTTGAATGCATCTAGGAACGAAAAGTTATTTGTGTGTAATGTCTCTGAAGTAGTTTATAAAAGCCACCACAAAGTAATGTTTGATCACCGATCATGGCAACTGAACATCTGCCACAACAACTAAAAAGCGTTTCCAAGATAATTTTAACCGTTGCTGTCATTGTTGTTGATGTTTTTTTTTTTTATTTTAGGTCATGCACTTGGCTTTTATCATGAACAGTCTCGCCCTGATCGAGACCAACACGTGACCATTTTGTGGGAAAACATCAGAGAGGGTAGGTATTTGAGTCTATGATGAATTAAGACTGACACTAAGCCATCGTGCATATCTTCCTCATTCGTCCAATTTCACGATGTGTGTGAATCATATGCAATGGTTTCATGACGTTAACCCATTCCCAGTCAATGAGTTCTCGTGCACTCCTCACGGGAACCGGGAAAATTAGCTCGATATCTGTAAGGAGTTCGTTACTATTTTTGAGAGAGAGTCATGTCTTGACTATCATGATGAAGTGACACAAAATATCCCACGTTAGAGGCCACAATGAACATATTGGATCTAGAACTGAGTTGTTTCTTCAATGAACAAAGCACTCTCCTATTTGGAGGAACTGTAGGCTTTGGAGAGAAAGCATGGCGAAGAGTTAAAATCTTTTTTTGGAACAGTCACGTCTGTCTCCAAATTTAAATGTGGTTTAGTAGAAGGAGATATTCTATTTTACATTGGAAACGTGATGAATAAAACGACGTTTGGTTGTTTTTTTTTCGGTTTCAGCTAACAAACACAACTTCAAGAAGTACAGCACCAGTATTATTGACTCTCATCAAACTCCTTATGATTATGGATCTATCATGCATTACTCATCTAGGGCATTTTCAAAGAACGGAAAGCCAACAATAGCGGTGGCCAATGGGGTAAGTTGTAAACAGACGAGGCTTTGTATATATAGCAGGTGAGTTATACATACGTAGGTACATACATGAATCTTATGAAAGGTACCTAGAACAAGAGAAAACGTATAACATAAAGAACGCATTTAAAGGAAAGTTTAAAGGTGAGCATTATGTGAAAGAATCCCGAAAATTACTGTTTAGAAAATCTTCACAAATCACGTAAGGTCTAGCATGTACAAGATTATAGGAAAACAATCAAAGAACTTCATGGCGAATACAAACTCGCCTCTTGTTCTGCAAGAATTATCACATTTTACGTTAAGTTTCAAAATTTCTAAACATAACTTGGAGGATACTACGGAATTTTATCCGGTTTTAGTTGGGATTCCGATTGTTCGCGAGCAATTGTTCCTACACCCCACCAGTAAAGTAGTTACTACTGATTATTTCATTTTAGGCGACCATTGGCCAACGCAAGGGACTGAGTCCGATCGATGCGAAACAAATGAGCCGACGTTACTTCTGTCAGTCAGGTTTGGAACCCATGACATTGCTGTTATATTTGTCATTGTTGTCATTATTGTTATAGGCACCATTATTATTATTATCAAAATATCCCAGTGTAGACAACTGTTATTTTTCAAAGCAGGATCTTAATCTTCGACCGTCCGTGAGGTTGGTCAATGTTAGACAGCAAAATCTCTTAATAGATAGTGGGTTTTTTGAAACCAGACAAAAGATATGGTGAATCATGCCCAAAATTAAATTGCAATGATATGATATTAGCTATTGTTCTGATAAAGTAAGCTTCTACCGTCAAAGGGCCTAACATCCGTCAAAACGGCTTGTTTCTAACTTTTGAAAGTTAGGGGTCCCCTCCCATGAGCGCCTCTTAATCGATATTGCTCAGCTAAGATTTCAAATTTTGCCTATCAACAAATTGTTCACCGACGTTACTTACAGTTGCTTCAGTTTTGTTCACTAATAGATTTTTCGGTTTAAGATTTCATAGTCAACGCATAAATCTACCTCAAAATATGTTTTTTTCAATTTTTTGTCAGTCGTAAGTTAAATAATTATATGAGTAACTGAATAACATTTAATCAAACTCAGTGTTATCTTTATTCCATTCTAGCTCCTGTCAAACCCTCAGGTAATATGCTTTATAAATGGTCCCGGCTTTTAAATTGCGTATCAGCTTTAGAATCTATGATACCGATGTAGAAAATAAAGCTCATTGCCTGGAAGGAATCATCGTGCAACAGAGTTCCTTAACAAAACGAAACGATGACTGAAGCTATCTTTTATGATTAAATGTAATGTATAATTTGCGGTCGCTAAGTCCAAAATTAAAAACATGATTGTGACGACGAAATGTGTAATTAATCAATCAGGGAGTTGAAATCACTCATTTAAATTGAATAGAAAAGCAAAATACCCATGTCAGCACAAATTCAACTCTAAAAACTTTGCATTTAAGTAACCTTTCAATTCCTTAGAAAAAAAAACCGGGACACCGGAAATTTCTTGACTTAATTTACCACACTTCAAATATTCGCTACTCGGTTTAAGGCTCAAATTGCAACTTTGACAACGGACTCTGCACTGGATGGACCCAATCAATATCAGATCAATTTGATTGGAGGGTTTATAGTGGCTCAACTCCATCGCGAGGGACAGGACCTTCTGCGGATCATTCTGGTTCAGGTATGTCCCGCGGATCTATTGATGATTAATTTCTATGCTTCTAAGTTTATTCTTGCTGTTTATACTTTTGGAGATAGCTCAAGCTCTCCCGACTCGCCTCACTTTACTCTATTAGGGAGCTACCGTAAACTAGATCTTGAGCTCGTCAGCATATGGCTACGATCAACAATGTAAAAACTACCAAGTGAGTAACTTTAATGAGAAGGTGGCATCTTTCAATCTCGCGGACAGAATGAAAGATAACGTTATTCGCTTCATCTCAAGCTCAAAATTCTCCCATCTTCCCTTTTCTGTCTAGATTTAAATAGGTTTTATCGAGAGAAAATATGAAGCCTTAGCTTTTGAGAACATCTGACCGATTACTGGTTTTTTATTTTCGGCTTTTAAGGGAAGTACATTTATATCGAGACATCTCACCCACGAAAAGCCAATGAAAAAGCAATAATCAATTTTAGTGGATATTCCGGTGGCTCAGCCTGTCTTGCTTTCTATTATCATATGTACGGTGATAATGTCAATCAACTGAACGTGTACCTCGGAAGTTCAAAGGTTTTCGCCAAGGCTGGTAACCAGGGAAATGAATGGAAGAAAGCTCAAGTGTCGATAAATGGAGGAGGAAACGTACTAAGTTTGCGCTAACTAGTTCCAGTTTACATCAAGAGAAAGCAATGATTTCTTATGGTTACATAAGAGACACCAGCCATTGCGCATGACTTGGGTTGATGGATCATACTGAGCGAGCAGGTTATGAAAGTAAATAGAAACATTATATCAGTTCAGGACAGGATTCTTTTAATTTTTCCTCATTTTGCGCATGTGTTTGATTTATCCCGGCCACACTGCGTTGAGTATTCAATAAAAAAGAAAAACAGTGCAGTTTGGCGTAACAAATTTTCTAAGGAAAAATGAAAGAATGGATTTCTTTGAAACTCTTCAGATCGTTTTCGAAGGAATCCGTGGAAGTGGCTGGCAAGGAGACATTGCCATTGATGATTTCTCCTTAACCGTGGGGTCATGTGAAGAAGGAATCCCAGACCCACCCGGTCCAACCACACCACCTCCTCCTGGTAAGTTCATTAGTTGAATCTCCGGGCCTCCTTGTGACGAGCGAGGATTATTTGAGAAAACAGAGGCTCAAGATAGTTACTTATGTTTTACACGCATCATTTCGTTAAGGACAAAGCTAACACATATATCTTCTAGGGAAAACACGGTTTCTGTTATCTCGATCATCGCATCTAACTTCGAACACACTGAACACACTCCTTTCTAAATCCGGCTGGGAAGTTGAGATCTTTTTCATCTTGGTCCTCCTCGGAAGCAACTGTCGGGGCTTGTCAAACTTTTCAGATTAGTATTGCTGTGTAGCATGGGTCTCCCAAGGTAAATGTTAAGTTTTACGTTTGTCAAAAGACGGTCTCCTAGGAAAAATAAAACCTGTTGATGAATTGATGAATAACGACAAACAATTATTATTGATAGGTAACTGCGGATTAAAGCCAAGTGTTCGTATTGTCGGGGGGACAGTAGCTGCACAAAACAGTTGGCCTTGGCAGGCAATGTTGCGGACTACGTCTGGATTTCCATTCTGTGGTGGCTCATTAATAGCACCTCAATGGGTAGCCTCCGCTGCTCACTGTGTTCGAGGGAAGTCGCCTAGTAGCCTAATGATAAGGTGAAAACAAAAAGGACTTGGCATTTTAACATGAAACATCTTTCTTTATAGCTAATTATAAATTATTGTTATCTGATATTAGAACTCATGATCAATTTAAAGGCAAACACCTCTAATTTCAGTTTTCAAGTCTCAAAATGAAATGATTTCACTCTCCAGGCTTCTTACTACAATTATTACATAGATCACAATATATTCAGCAATCATTCTCAATATTATCCAGATACTGTACAATATCAAAATTGTCTTGTGGAATACAATATCAAGCACGTTTTAGCCCTGCTACAAGAAATTGAAAACCGAAAGGAGTTCAAACAGATCTCCACATATCTTTTTGTTTGATTTGTTTTGGTTTCTCTTACCAGATTGGGTGCTCACAGAAGAATCGGTAGGGTCGGAACGGAGCAAGACTTCAAGGTTGTCAAAATTATCTCCCATGCAAGCTATCATAACCCCGTAAGATATAGTTACGATATTGCGTTGATAAAACTCGAGAAACCAGCCAACTTGAACAAAGCAGTTGGACTAGTTTGTGTTCCAGATGGCAACAGTCCAGCGATGCCAATCGATAATTTGAGCAAGAAGTGTTGGATAACAGGGTGGGGAAGGTTAGCTTCTGGAGGGGCTACTCCTGAAAAATTGATGCAAGCATCGGTGCCTCTTGTCTCAAAATCGAGGTATGTATCCTTTGATATGATTAGCGTGTCCGACGGAAAAACTCGGATCGAAATTTTTACTCCTGAGAACAGATAATGGCAGAGTGAACAGAGCCGGAGGTCCCCCTATCGAGTCGTCAAGGTCAACGGTTTGTCTAAATTCCAATTGAGTTGCAATCCGTCAGATAGGAAATTTCATCTTGCTATGTTTGAAGTGTATTTGGATTGTGAAATAGCTAGGTAAGCTAGGCAATTGTGAGGTTTATATGTTAACCTTTATAGAGCTAAAACAAGTTACCATCTGTCTTAATCTGTTTATACACATGACGCTCTCGAAATTGCTGATCGTAGCAGTATGCAAGACGGGTATTACATTAGATTATGAACATTGTAATTGCCCAGTTCGCGGTAGAGCTTTTGTGGCTCAAAGGTAGAGCATCAAAGTACAGAGTCTGTGGGCCTGAAGTTCGATTCCTCACTGGGACTCAGAATGTTTACTTCGTTCTACAAATGATTAAAAAAAGACAACTTCACCCACACATAAACTTGAGCTTATATCAGGATTTCATCACAATTAAAGAACCGTAAAATATTCGCTATTTTGCGTGATACGATTTTGTTTTATATTTCTAGGTGTCTTAAGGGTTACCCGAACATGATCCACGACTCCATGCTGTGTGCAGGACTTGATAAGGGTGGAGTCGATGCTTGCCAGGGCGATAGTGGCGGTCCGCTGGTCTGTCAATACAATGGCAGATGGTTCTTGGAAGGAGCTACTAGTTGGGGTCATGGATGCGCTGGCCCTATGAAGTACGGTGTGTACGCAAAAGTACGTTACGTCAAGAGCTGGATCGATCAGATCATGAAGAGCAACTGAATCAAGTGCTATTTGTACCAGCTCTGAAGTGATGTCTAATCAAATAAAATTTAATGATTGACCCTGCATTTAGTTTTACAAATTACTCTCTATGATCAGTTCTTTAACATCTTTAATCCTAAAGAGGGAAAAACTCATTTCCATAAACATGCTTACCCACCTACGCGCTTTCCCTTTAAGGTTTGACATTAGTTTCTCTTGTAAAACCCTTTTTTAAAAGAATTGTTTTCATAGTGATCTCCTTGCGTACTTAAAAGGGAAGTTATCATCCAGATATTTCTGGAGTATAAATCTATCTATTTTTGGATATAAACATATGTTTGCTTTCTTTTTCCTATTTCTCTGATGAAACATGCATCGCCATAAATTTTTTAAAAGAGGGTCTAAGCCGTTTAACGTTTGGATTACAAGCAGAAGTCCTGGTAATGAATTCGATATGAAGAGTTACTTGAAACGTGATTAATTGAACACTGTAATGAAAAAAGTAACCTGAGTTTACTGACGTGGTATCAAGTAACCAATTAGTGATACCATTTGAAATTTTAAGTCGTAAAGACCTTTATGCATAATATGAAGCCATTTACCATATCAGGCTCAAACTTTGTCCACACGACAATAGAATGATTATTTTCGTGACATTATTGGTTGGTGAAAATCAAATTCAACCGGGGATTGACTGCTTAAGTGGCGCCCACTCGTCTAAGAAGGACTAAACAGCTTGTAATTGAACATGTGTCGGTGTCAGCTGTCAGTTTCCAGAACCATCAGATTACGAATTAGAAAAGACGAGATCAGACATAAATTTCATTTCTTTATTCAAGTTGGGTGAAGGGCAGTCAGTTTGCGATTTTGTGGCTTAAGATCAGTAACAAAGGAGGAGCCTCCATCCAAGTAAGTCAAGATCAACAGCGTACAAAATCTTTCATTTAAAGCTACAACGCTTGAAATGATTAGGTACTTTTTGTCTTCCTTTTTTTTTCGGCTTTCGTACGCCAGCTTCAAGCAGGTAAAAACGAAGCAAAGTTTTATTCAGTCAATGCTACAACTGTTCATTTCCAAAATCACTAAGTTTACTCGGACCGAAAACTATTTAAATAAATATTCTCACTGTAACTGGAGATCATAAGAAAAGGGAAGTCCTCGATTTCACGATAGTTTTTCGTCTATCAACCTTTCTGCTGAAATCAACTGAATAAGGACATACCAACTTGACGAAATAGTCAACAGGAAGAATGTATCTGGCAGTAACGTGCGGCTCCTTATAAAAATGTAATAAACAACATCAAAATTGACACATAACTTATGGAATAATTTTTTTTTTTGTTTTTTTTTTCTTTTAGCCTTAAATCTTGTAAAATGGTTAGGTATGATAAAATTGTCTAGATCTCGAAATAATTTGCCATTTGGTAAGATGTAATAATTTGCCGTTTGGTAAGATGTACTACATAAGATTTGTCTGACTTGGACAGTCTATAAAATTCGCCATTACAGCATATGCGATCTTCATGGTCACGTACTAAGCAAAAAAAAACAAAAAAAACAAAAAGGTTTCCAGGCTTCAGCTCAACAGAACTGAGGTAGCGGATCGTTCAAATTGTCTATTTATTTGAAATATGGATGAATATTTCATCATGATGCAACATAGCCCTGAAAGCAGTGATGCTCATCGAAGGGGCAGATCTTCAAAAGCATCAGATCCTGAGCAAAAATTTAATTGCTTCTGCTGTGAAAAAAGTACCTGCATTGTCTATGTTTTTAAACGAACCTACGTGTCGCAGTATGGTACGTTTATCTTTCTTTGTTTCAATGTTTGAGGTTTCACAAGAATCAAAAATTAACATGCAAATCAAATCCAAGTGGCATATTCTGCCATATGTCGGCATATAATAACCACAGATTAAACGCTTAACTCTTCGAATAGGTAGTTTATCTTTCCCACACGAGTAAATACGCCTTTTACCTTCGATAGAATCGCTCAATTATTCGGAGCACGCATCGTTCACTTACAAAAGATGAATTGGTGTAATAAGCTGTATAACGGAGAAGCAAGTCACCGAATCGCGCTCTGTACGCCTCGACAAAGACATTTTTTGGTAAAATTCTTCTTAGAGCTGGTATCCTTGTCAAGCTACCAGCCATTTTCAATTTTTTAACCTCGAAAAGTGGTTTTTAACCCTTTAATGTAAAAAAGAGGTGGCACACAGTTGGACTTTGAGAAACGGACTTCACGAGAAAAGTTTGTAATTTTGCAATCCGCCTCAATCTCCGTTTCCCCGGGTCTTATCATTTGTTCTTTGCTCTCTTTTTGTTTACACTTTTTTCTCTCTCTCGTGCATTTTTCTTTCTTAAGTAGCTTACTACTCAGCCTGTTTTGAACACTTCAATGAACTTTCATTTTTTCAGCTGACCGAAAAGATATTTGGTATTTTTGACATATACATACCTGCGCGTGGTAATTAATTAATTGGACTTTCATAAGTATGAGCTTGGAGTAGCCTTACTTTAATACAAAGAGATCGTAAAGCGTACATTCTATCCGCAATTTCCGCTAAGCCTCAATTATTTTTCATCTTACGAAACACACAGTGCAATATTCCTTGGTTAACCTCCCAGTGGAAGAGAGCTTCTGGAGAAAGCGAAATACCACTGCGAGCAAATGGAGTCTTTTTAAGTTCGAAGTCAAGTACGGTTTCATTGTTTATCTATAGAGATGATGCCAGGTGAAACAGGAAACCAAAAAAAAAAAAAAAGGACGTGACGCTTGTGTAGACCTTATTTCTGCACTAAGAATGTCATTCTAAATAAAAAAAAAGTCTCAATAAAACTAGCCAAGTCTGATTTGGTCAACGGTTAAAAGGGTTTGCAAACATCTCAGCACACTTAGTGCGGTGAAACGTTAATAGGCGAGTATAATGAAAGAACGCAGAAAAAAAACAAAAACAAAAAACAAAAAAACGAAAGGGTCGAATTACGGTGGAAAAGAGGAACGAAGAGGAAGATCAGAGTTTCTGTATATCGTTCTTTTTCCTTGTTTATCAGTTATAGATATCGAAAGACGTCCAGCCAAAGTTTCGCAAATGCGGCTGCTTCCATCGGTTATATGACCCCTAATTTAGTACCTTAAAGCACCGACGGAAAGTGTGGAACATTCACGACACTAAATTCTCTCTCGGCTTTGCCGGAGGCTACCGTCTTGCGTATTATTTGTGCTCCAATCTCCCACAATAAATCATTAATCAATCTACCATAAATCGGTTATTGGTTGGCAAGACTGGCAGGTGGTTTAATACATCCCCGATTCCATTTGGGGAGAAACCCAATTGTCAAGAACTCAAGCAGTTGTATAGTTAACCTGTTGCAAGCCTCAAAAATCAGCATCAACTATAGCTAGACTGCTCAACCATTTTTTATTTTTGTGATATAGAAATGTGCCCCATCGAAATTGACCCTTGTTGTTTTTGTCAACAATTTTGCTGCTCTTTGAAGGTAAAAGCGTACTATAAAGCGATCCTGGCGTTGAGTTACAGGCCATCAGGAGTAGGAATTGACTATTGCTGCCATTGTTTTGTACTTTTCTAACGGTGTCATCATGATTAACTGATAACCAATCGAATGCACTGTGGTTTTCTGCACGGATAGTAGTCTCCAGTCTTCTCTTAGTATGCTATCTTCCTGTTTTTTTCGTTCCCAATTGACAGCCCTCCCATGGGAAATTTAACACCCTTTTGAGCACTTTAAAACAAACATGTCATTAAAGGATGGCGTTAATAGGGCAGAAGGTAAATTGGAAACTTTTGAGGAACAATTTACGAGAAAGGCAGCAAATTAAACTTAATGGCGATAGTACAGGTGTCTCCAGAGAATTTCAGAGAAAACGTAATTCAAGTAAGATCGGTATCAAAGGCTGAAGAGACTCAACGAAACCATATACAAAAAAGCACAATGAAAGGAAAATAACCCGCCGCGCGTAAGTGCACTCTTTTATTTGTCAAGTCATCCTTATTAAATTCTTAAAGGTAAATTGGGTGGTTCCGTGTAAGAAATGCAAATATTTGTATCACCTGGGGGCGATTCAACATAGATTTCAAAACCATGACATATTACACCAGTTTTTCCACTCGTTTACTCATTTCAAATCTTTGATCTGAAGTTCTGACTTACTTAAATCTGAGGTCATTGAAACTGAGTCGATTTTTCAAATAACAAACTTTACTTGACATGATCCTTTGCTGTCTAAGGTAACGTTTAAATCTTCTTCATCTTATTCATTTTGCATAAAGAAAAAACTCAGAGGGATTCAAATATCTTTTTTTGATCCGATCGCCGGTGAGATGAAGCCGAATTGGTGCCTCCATTTGGAATAAGGCAAGTATAATTTTTACTTCAGTTCAAAGCATTTGTTGTTCTAAAGTTTATTGCCAGCACAGCTGTTGTTAAATTCTGTTGTTTAATTTCAAGGAAACTCGACGACGAATTAATTGTCTATCTTGAACACTGAAGCCTAAATTTTTAAGAAATGCAATTTTCAAGTCATGCAAATGATCAATATCCTTTGTTAAGTTTTGTGGTAAATACATTCTCCTTCACGATCATTGTTAACTTTTATAATTTAAACCGCGTTTCATTCTTTTTAAACACGATCCTTTTTTAAGTCATAAGAGTGGACTACTGATGTGCGACTCAGCCAAGAACTATTGGCCGAATTTAGATTATTTCTGCTTTTGTTCGTTCAAATAGTAAGCTAATTCCTTCAGGTAGTTACAAAAAGAAGAAATGAGAGATTCTGTGAATATAGCGTGTTATCGCTCAACTCTCCGCTCCGAAGTCCAGCTGAATTTTTAAAAAGTACGAAGTCACGAAAGAATTTTACGAGCAAAATACTTCCTCAACAGGAACATTTGGAAATAATTTTGCTTCATGCAGCAATATTTGACGTTTAAGATAGCTTTTGCATGAAATAGAAGTGAAGCTAAAATAGGCTTCATGCACGAAAAGGAATTTCCACGGAAATTATTATTCATTTAAGCTGTGTTCAGTTGTAGCTGTCGTAACAACGGA